GTGTGTGTGTGTGTGTAATGAGATTGACATTTAACTCAGTAGACTGAGTAAAGCAGATTGCCCTTCTTAATGTGGGTGGGCCTCATCCAATCAGTTGAAGGCCTGCATAGAATAAAAGGGCTGACCCTCATCCAAGTGAGAAAGAATTCCTCCTGCCTGACTGCCTTCAAACTGGGATGTTGGCTTTTTCCTGCCTTCAGTCTTGAACTGAAACATGGGTTCATCCTGTGTATCAAACCTGCCAGCCTTCAGACTGGAACTATACCATCAGCTCTCCTGGTTTTCCAGCCTTCAGATCTGGACTGGGACTCCATCTTAGGCTCTCTGGGTCTCCAGCTTATCAACTCACCCTGCAGACCTTGAGACTTATAAGCTTCCATAATCACAGGGGCGCATTCCTTATAATAAATCTTTTTAAATAAAATCATCAAGTTGGTGATTTTGTTTAAATAAGAGATTTATTATAAAACTCTAAGTCTGAAGGCAGGAAAGTGCCAACGTCCTAGCTTGAAGGCAGTCAGTCAGGAGGAATTTCTCATACTTGGACAGAGGTCAGCCTTTTAATTCTATTCATGCCTTCAACTGTGTGAGGCCCATCCACATTATGGTGGGCAATCTGCTTTACTCAGTTTACTGATTTAAATGTTACTCTCAACCAAAAACACCCTCACAGAAACACCCAGAATGTTTGACCAAATGTCTGGGCACGCGTGTGCCCCAGTCAAGTTGACACACAAAGTTAACCATCACAGTATTCTATCAGTTATCTAAGAAAAAGGGAGAGTGAGTGGTGTGTGTGTTGTGTGTACTTCTAAATGAAAGGATAAACCATATATATATACACACATACATACATACACATATATACAACATATATATTATATATATAGTGAGAAGGAGGAAACGGCAGAAGTGTGGGGATAGAAGCTAGACTTTTTGGAATGTACCTTGTTTTGAAATCTTGTAAATATTTTAAGTAATTAGTAATCAAACTTAAATTTTAAAGAAGTAACCCCTAAAAATTAAAAAGCAAAGCAGATAAATTGAAATATGTGATGAGTTGGTGGCATAATCAGCCAAAGGGAAACTGCTTCACATGACTTTAAAACTCTTGACTCTACACCACTAAAGACTAAAAGACCTTCCCTGCCCACCCCCCAAATTAAATTGTTTTCTGTAATCCTGGTATTGGTGATATTTTAAAATTCCGAGGCTGTTCATGTGGACTCTGGGGTAAAGCAGAGGAGAAGGTGCCTCGGTGCCTGCAGTGGATGCTCTGGCATGCATCCTTTAGGACAGAAGCACTCATTTCCTCGGCTGCTGGCAGTGTTGGTGGCTAAGAGCACTCAGCTGAGTTGCTGAGAATTGCCACCAGCTGAAGGGAGCTACTTCGCCTGAAGTCACGACTCCTCAACAAAGACATCCTACATCCAAGTTATAAAAGCCCAGCCCACTTGGCTGAGGCAGGACAACTCGGAAAGGCCATCCCAGCTCCAGTGCTACCCATGGGATCAGCTAAAGCCTTTGTCATGACTGCATTGCAGTTTAACTCTTCCCTCTGCCTCATCCTACTTCCTTTAGATTTCAGGCTTTGAGCCCAATGGCATATCACAGTGATTAGCTTGCATCCAAATCACTGTCTCAGTCTGGTTTTCAGGGAAGCCCATCTAAAACAGTTAGAGCCAAGAATGGTCTGAGGAAGCAGATTCCAAAATGAGATTTTGGAGCTAGACCATCCACTGGCAGGCTGGCAACAGAAGACCATGTTACTGGTGGCAGGTGGAGCATGGTTCACCACTAGCGTGCCATAGCAGTGTAATTGTTGAAACTTTCACTGATGGTGAACTGGGAATGCCTTGGTAGGGACAGTGTCTCAGGCATTTGAGAAATATAAGAGAACTAGTAATTATGAAGAGTATGGAATTGGATGGCTGTTCTTACAGGCATTCATTCCATTAGAGAAATGCTGAGGGTGATTAATTACCAATTAAAGGCTATGTATGAAGACCAGAAGGGCTTCTTAACAACGTATAAAAAGACTTTCATCTCTTGCAGCTGGAGGACAGAAAAAGCTGAGGATCAGGCCCAGGCCTTAACTGTAAGATTGGCAAAGTTCAAGAGAAGATTGGATTCCAGCCTCATCATGTCTGCTAAGCCAAGGTCAGGGCAAAAGTCTTGGATACGGACCTATAGAAGTAGCCCACTTCTTCCCGTTAAGCTACCACTCACTCAGTCCCTTCCTCCTCCTTGCTTAGAGAGGATGCAGAAGCTTCTGCCTTGCAGGTTAACATGCACCCTCCTCAGGATTTGCCTCCCCTGCTGTGATCACCAAGCCAGTCGGGTCGAGACACAACATAACTGGGCCAGGGAAGTGCTAGGGCTGCCAAAGTTGTTGCAGAACCTTGCCAAAATAAACCTGGAAGAGCCAAGAGAATATATTTGGGCCTGGATCCTGAGGGTTCTGGCTTAAGGGGGAAGGAACATAAAGCTGGATGAGGGAGAGTGTTTTATATGTAAGCTCTCCAATGAGAGAACATTTAACACTGGCGGGGACCTGAGGAGACAGTGCTGACACACTGCTAGGGTAGTTCTTGGAAGCTTGGAGAAAGGCTGAGCCACTACACTTGGCCCAGCTAAGTGAAGTATAACAGAACCTCCAAGCAGACAAGGGGAAGAAGAGATTACAAACCTTAGAGAAGTGTGTGGGCTAAAGTGAATATACTGTGTAAGGCAAGACAGCCTGGAAGTTCCTCCATTTACCAAAGCAGTAAGGAATATGTCACTGTTTATAGGGACACTGGCATCATTTAGGAACTCAGTAGTGACTGTCTTCTGAAGGCCAGGACTTAATAGTAGGAAATGCTGCCACAGAGCTGGGTGCCCTGATAACAGTGGGGATGATGAGATCGTGAAATAATAGATGCCAGGTTGTGGCACTTAACCAGGAGGTGCATAGTGGGTTAATTATCTTAATGAATTGCAGGGTCAGAGTGGCAACCAAAGATCCTGATCCACAGTGAGCTATAGAGATGGTTAATGGAACGAAGCTTCGGTAGATACAAGGTAGATGGTCAGCCAGTAAGGGCGTTGCCCAATCTAGATAATCTAAAGAAGTAAAAAATGGATGATCAGGAGATTGAGAGCAGCCACCACAATAAAATCATTACTTTTGTTCCAGTTTCTGGTCCTGAGCCAGTTCTCAGACCCAGAACTCATTGATTGACAGAAGGACCAAATCTCCAGGAGGAAGGACCCTGCACACCATGGCAAGTGCATATTATTAATGATTTTTCAACTACTTCCTTAAAGGGACTTATTTACTTGGATAACCATACACTGGGAAATGGAAAATACCCAATGTTTTGAGGATTTTGGGGCACAGTTTCCAAACTGACACTGTTAACTAGGGACCAATTATCATCATTTGGTCCCTGCCCCCATTACAGTGGGAGCATATGGGGGCTAGGTAATAAATTTAGTCCTGGCCCAGATATAGCTCATAGTGAGTCTGCCAGGTCTACAAATCCACCTATTGGTTATTTTTCCCCATACGCGAATATAACTGGCATGGACAGTTATCTGTGGCATAAGAGCTATTATAGAAAGAAAGACTTAAGTGGAAGCTTTGCAATTGCCCCCATACTCACAGCCAAGATAGGAAATAAATGATATTACGTCTTGGGGAGGAGAGAGATTAGTATGACACTTAAAGACCTAAAAGATTTTAAAATGGTGGCCTCCATCACATACCCATTTATTGACCAGTTCCCTGCAGGTGGATCCTGGAGGATGACAGTGGACTACTGCAAACTGGACCAAGTTGTAGCTCTAATTGTAGGTGTTGTACCAGATGTGGTATCTTTGTTAGAGAAGATTAACAAGGCCTCAGATAGATGGTATATGGCCATTGATCTGGTAAATGCCGCCTTCTCCATCCCTGTTAGGTGGGAGGACCAGAAAGTTCACATTATGGATACACAGCAGTGTACTATGAATATTAACTCGCCCTCAGAACATAACGTAGTCAGAAAGGATCTGGGTCATCTGGATATACTATGACATTGGTCCACATTTTGATAACATTGTGTTACTTGAACTGGATGAACAAGGAGTTGCAAGCACATCGAAGCCTTTGGTAAGATACATGCCCTCCATGGGTGGATGATAAGCCCTGTGAAGATTCAGGGCCCTACCACATCAGTGAAGTTTTTAGGGATCCGATGATCTAGGATATGCCAATCTATCCCTTTCAAAGTAAAAAACAAAGTATTGTATTTCACAGCTCCCCAACTCAGAAGCAAACACAGAGGTTGGTGGGAGTCTTCAGGTTCTGGAGGCAGCCTATTTTATACTGGGAACACTATTCCAACCAATTCATACAAACAGCTTCTAGATTTGAGTGAGACCCAGGGCAGGAAAGGGATCTGCAGCAGGTCCAGCCTGCAATGTAAGTGTCCCTCCCCCTTGAACCATACTCCCTGACAGACCCAATGATATCAGAGCTGTTAGTTATGGCAAAAGATGCCATGTGCTGCTTATGGCATGCCCCAGTTGAACAATTACAACATAAACCCCATTGCAGTCAGACAATGCCACCTGTAGTGGAAAACTACACGTAATTTGAAAAACAGTTCCTCGGGTACTCCTGGGCCCTGGTTGAGACAAGCATCTGATCATAGAAGTGATCATACATCCAGAACTGAGCTGGGTTCTGTCAGAGTCACAAAATCATAAGGTTTGGCAGAACTAGCAACAATCTGTAGTAAGATGCAAGTGATAACATGGGAAAGAATGGAGCCAGAAGGCATAAGTAAGCTGCACAACTCCTGATTCCAATTTCATTCTCCACTGTTGACCACTGCCTCTCCTTCAGCTCCAGGGAAAGATAACAGTGTGGAGAAATCCAGTGGGCAGAACTTTGGGTTATATACGTGGGCATCCACTCTATGTGAAGATAAAAGTGGCCCAAGGACTCACAGGCAATACCTAATGACTTGGTTGGTTAGCCAAAGTCTTGGAAGGAGAAAGATTGGAAGATCAAGGACAAGGTTTGGGGAAGAGGCATGTGGATAGACCTATATAGGAATAAGCATGAAAATATGAAGATTTTTGAATCATGTGTTACCTATAGAAATCATCTGAAGAGACACTATACTGCCAAATAGAATGACTCAGCACAGTGTTATTGTGCTTCTGTTATTGGCCTCAGTGTTGATACAATGGGAGCTGGAATGGAGTATCCAGGGATTGAGGGCTACACGTGGGCCCAGCAGCATGAACTCCTACTCATCAAGGCTGATTTAGCTACTGCTTGTGTCAAATGTCCTAACTACCAGTAACAGAGACCAATGCTGAGACCCTGATAACAGCACCTTCCCTTGAGGAGACCAAGCAGCCACTTGGTGGCAAGTATTTAATTTTGGGCCCCTTCGATTTTAGAAAGGGGAGTGAATTAATCCTGATCGAATTGACACATATTCTGGATATGAGCTTTTGTTTCTTGGCTGCATGACCTCAACCAACATCGCTATGGAAGGATTTACAAAGGGTTTGATCAACCTACATGGGAGCCCACATAGCATCACAAAGGACCAAGGAATCTACCTTCCAGTAAAGGAAGTGCTGCAATGAATGCAGAACCATGAGATGAACTGACCTTGTTATATATGCTGCCCAACTGAAGCTGCTGGAGTGATAGGGAGAGTAATGGTCTTTTAAAAAGGCGTACCTGAGGCACTAGGTGCCTAAATTGACAACCGTTATATGGTGCTCTGTTCCCAACAAGTAGACCACAGGGGTCCAGGCACCAAGGGGTAGAAGTAGGAGTGGCTCGACTTACACCACTCCCAGTGACCCACCAGGGGAATTTGTGTCACAAACTCTAGGATCTATGGTACAGAGGTCTTGGATCCCAGAAATGCTTCCTCCAGGGGTGCAACAAGAGTTGTATTCACCTTTAATCTACAGCAGCCCTCCATTCATTTCAAGATGCTCATATCAAAAGATCTTGTTGGCAAGGAAAAGAGTCCTCATCCTCCATTCCTCCATAGCTTATTGAAGTCTGACCAAAATAAGTGTCTTTCAGAGCACCAAAAATAATAGCTGTCATGACTCGTGTAGTGAAAATCACAGCTATTTGGGAGATAGGTTTCATTAGGACTCTGTTGCTGGTGTTGCAGCTGCTGACTTAGCACAGCTCACTCAGTGTGATTCCAAAATCAGATGTTAAAATATATATATATATTGTGTGTGGAGAGGGAGAGAGAGATCAAACTGAAGAGTAACCAGTTATTGCAGGTGAAGAAGAGGTGTGGTTACTACCCATGTAAGATCACAGAAATTGGAGAACATCATTTCTATGTCAGAATTACCTTCTGTAATAGATCGATACCTAAGAATTGGTAGGGAGTGACGTCAGCATCATAGCAACGTAAGATGTTGCTGTTTTCTCTCCCCGCTTTTTAGCAATTAATTAGACATCTCTCCATGAACAAAAGTGCCTCGTGGGGAGCTGTGGGACCTACTACCCTACACCAAGGGACTGGGAGGACTTGCACCTACTTGTGCTTCCAAAAATAGACAAACAGACATGGTAAGGGCTGCAGACCCAAGGGAGTCAGCGAGCCTGCCCCGCAACCTGCTCACTCCAGTAGGGGAAAAACTTGGAGAGTACGGACCTATTCAGATATCCAGGAGCAAGAGGATTTTGTACAAGTCCAGCCTGCCTGAGGGGAGATACCAGTACACCATTAAGACGGGAAGGATAAGAGTTTGTACACAGTGGAGAGGAAGGGACTCTCCCAGAGCCCCCTTCCCCATGCAGGGCAATGCCTACACAGGGCTAAGCTGTCAAGTATTGGTGACCTCTCCTGTGGAGGAGGTGGAAAGCTGTGAGTGAGTGCCCAGCTAGCCCAGTTTTGTGGGTTACAGCCAGAGAAACCCATTTCTCTCCAGCAGCACCCAGAGTACTGAGGTGGGACCTCCATGACTGGGGAGAGAAGGATAAAGGGAAGGAAGCAGATAAGAATATCAAAAGGCATTAAGGAGGTTCCTGCTGACTACTTCAGCACTTCAGCAGGAAGTCACCCTCAAGCTTCTGGGATTATCCCACTGGAAAATCCTACCACTGGGTCCATGGGCACCCCCATCACCTGGAGTGC